GAAGATGATGAGGAAGAGGATGAAGATCAAAGGGATGTGCCACATTGGACAAAAAAACAGAAACTGGAAGAAGAGAAATGAACATGTACATTTTTTTCAAAAAACGAAAACAATAAAAATGTGAACTGAACTGGTCTACATCAGTACTTTTAAGATAAGAGCTGATGTTTTATTTGGAGTTGGGAATTATGAAAGACTCAGACATTCAACCATGGAAGTTTTTTATTAAAATATTATTTTCAACATCAGTACCTTGGATAAGATGGTTTGAATTTTGTGATCTCAAAAATTGGTTTATATTCTTGTATGTAATGCTTTTAATATTCTTGATTGTGTTATTATAAATACCTGCTACATCAAATACATGTCTTCAATTCATTGTGCACACAGAATGTCTTATTATATTGCATATAATATTGTAAAATGTGCATCAATAACAGTGCAGGTATATCAGCTGATTATGACTCATTTTGCTGTGAGAAAAAGGTCTGTTTATATTGTCCAAGTTTACATTTACATATTATGGCATCATCATAATGTTTTACATCAATCTTAGTATTTGTAAGTCAATAAATGAAATAAATTTCCAAATGAAAAAGTGTATTTTGTGTAGACCAAGTCATCTAATGTTCATTGCTGCCAACTGGTGCTAATCATATGACTGATTGTGTGTTGTGATCCGCATCCACGTCAACTTTTTACTTTTTCGTCTTCCTGAAAACCGCAAGTTGTGTAATAATGTCTTAAATTTTAACATATGCTTGTACCGTATTGTTTCTATCAAGATATACATGTATCACGCACAATTGAAACAACTTTAACTGTGATGTAATGCAAGTTTAAGTAGTGATTTGCCCCAATGAAATCTGTAAATATTATTATTAGCAATAATGTAATATTCACTCATAGACCCTCCAGTAGAGGGAGGGTCTATGATTCACTCCAACAGTTCACAACAAGTTACTGCATAAATTACAATAATTAGCAATGATTAGCTCATAGCATTTATTGATTGTACATAATACTTCACTTCAGATCTCATGCCACTAATCAACCATTGGCTGTCCCAGCCCTCAATTTAAATGCCTTGCAAGAACCAATGACATTTGTTTTTATATTTTGTTTGGGGCGTGATTACCTGGGTCAAAGGTGAGACTAACATGTGGTCTTTTGTTTACTACTTAGTGGCTGTGTACCTGTG